AAAGCTGATGAAAACTGGGTAAGGTTTATAGTCCAGTTAGCAGTATTGTACCAATGGTAGTTTCCTACTTTTGCTGTCGTGTCACAGTCATATAAGATGGCATCATTGGGGAAAGTGGTGTGAAAAGTGCCCAAAACCCAGGTACTATTTTGCAACTTCTCGTGAATCTGTAGTCTCTGGATAATCTGTGAATATAATCTATAGGCCTATAACTATTTTAAAGTAAAATATTAAGAAATAAGTAGATGCATAAAGACTTACCTGGATGCCTATAAAAGGGCCCAAGTTATTTATCTGGCAAATTCTATTCTTCCCTAGTGATACCGATTTGCTAAGGGCCACCCTCACTTTCCAAGGAACTCACTTTATTCGTAATGAACAGTTTTAAAACCTGTAGCCAAAGCCATAATTTCCTCTGGGAAATTATGATGTAATCATTAGTCAGTGCTCAAAAAACCCACTTGGGAACACGTTAGATATGTAACGATTGCTTAGAACTGAATATCCCTCAGAAGTTTTCATTTTTACCCGTTGCTAATAGAGAAATCTCTCCACTCAATGAACTCTTTAGCCTACTGAAACGAGTAAAGGAACATGAGAAGGGATGCCTAGAAAGTATGTGTTTATTAATATAGAGAATTACGCATATGCACATGCATACACACTCCTACTGAATTGATGGGATTTGCTATCAATTATTTTCCAGTTATTGCCATACTAACCAGATCAACTATTGATCAGATTGATCAGCTTCAGTCATCAAAATGCCTGGAAACCATGGAACGGCTGCAGTTTGCATCTAGAATAGATGGTGTTTTGTATAGAGTTAGATCAAACTTAATGAGTACATTTGAAGTGAACTGTCCCACGGGCCCACTTAGGCTGCAGCGAGTTGTGAATGTTTTGTGACTTAATGTTGAAGCAGGCTCTGAGAACAGGAGCAAAACAGTATTCAGGGCAGCTTCCTAACGGTAATTCCAGCCCCATTACTTGATAGCTCCTGATACTACTACATAGCAAAAGTTCCTACCTTTTTAATAAAAAATTCAAAAATTTGGTTTTGAGAGCAGAAAATATTATTAAAGTGCCTACAAAAATGCAGAATTTCAGAATACTGAGGAATATAGGTAATGAGGTAACCATTTAAATTTGATTGAGCAGAAGTATGAGGGAAATTTCATCGAGTACGATTATTCTGAGCACCAATTCACTGTGTGTGTATGTTTGCAGGGGAGTGGTTCCCCACGCCACTGAGAAATTCTCTGACACCAGCGGTGTGTCCCACAATTCAACTGAATTCTGACACTATCTACTAGAGGGAATATCAAGTTAGCCCACAGGTCAAGGGCTCAGTCCCACAAAATGCCTCCCCCACTTCCGATGCCAATCACAAGCCCCAGGTGATACCTGTGCTTCAGACCCACCTTATAAATCAGATGTTCCCATCACTCCCTCCTTGAGTTCTATAAATCTGTTGGTGTGGCTCACAGAACTCAGGATACTAACACTCACTAGATTATCAGTTTATTACGAAGGGTACTAAAAGATATGAATTAATAGCCCAGTGAAGAGATCCACAGGGCAAGGTCCCAAGCAAAGGAACTCTGCCCTCATGGAATCTGGGACCTGGCACAGTAGCACATGGACACCCTCTCGTTTGCCGACCTGGAAGCTCTCAGAACACTGTCCTTTTGGGGTTTTATGGAGGCTTCCTTACATAGGCATGATTGGTTATATCACTGACCACCTGCTATTGATTCAACCTCCAGCCGCTCTCTCCTCCCAGAAGGTCGGGATGGGACTGAAAGTTCCAACTCTCTAAACACATGGTTGGTTCCATTGGCAATCAGCCCCCATCCTTTGGTGCCATTCAAAAGTCACCTCATTAACATAAGACGCCTGTATAGTCTCAACAGTTTGGAAATTCCAAGGTTTTTAAACCTACAAGGCTTATCTCATTCTGCCATTTTTTTTTTTTTTTGTCTTTTAATCAACATTGCCTCAGGACAGGCAGGAAAATGGACAGAAAAGTTTTATTCATATTCCTCTAGGAAGAACTATTCATCCAATGTGAGTGCAAATAGTGTTCCTGCTATAGACGCTTACAGTTTAATTCTGAGTTACACAGGAAATAGATGACTGACAAATGTCCTAAAGTCTGAAACCAGAAGAGAGGCAAGAGAATATATGAAAAATGGAAAGGACCAGAACCAGCATCCATTTGTTTTTGCATAAAATAATGTTTAGATATAAAAGCCATACTGCAATTAACAGTCTTATGAATGCCTTTGCCCTCAAACTCTAGGAAAGATGGTCCAAGACGTGGAGAAGGTTGAGACTGAGAGAGGAGAAGGTACTGAAGACAGACTAAGGATTGAGTGAGATCGTGTATAAAACACCTGTCACGTCGGGTATACAGGTGGCATGAACAACTTCATGTGAGACAAGTTCTGTATTTTTCATTTGGGCAAATCAGCAAACCAAACAAACTCATTGGATATGCTCTTCAAGGTGAGTCTGGATACCCCCAAGGACGTTAACATTCCCAAATTATTCCACAGCTTTCTTCATGTGTGAGATTGCAGCACCTGGGGTGTACTTCTTTGCCTTCCTTCTAGTCCCTCCACCCCCACACACTCCAGATTGTTCCAAGAATATCCTGTACGCGTAAGCTACACTCAGAGATACAGTGACACATGCAGGGAAGAGAAGGGGGTTTCGTAGAACCTCTTTTCTCCTCTTTGCTCCAAATTTAAGTCAACACAGTTTTCTGTGACTTGTTTCTGTGATCACTGTGAATTTATTTCTCTGCCAGATACCTTTTACACTCCACAGACATTTCATAATGCTTAAGGAAAAAGAAAATGAAGCCACGATTATCAAAGACTTCATCAAAGCAAGGGGAACAATCACTGTTACTTCTGTGCTGGAAAAATTTCTGCCAGTCTTGAAAGTGTCTCCTGACTTATGACTGTAAACTCAGATATAAACTTGTCTACCAGAGGAGAAATTTATAAACTATGGGTCAGCTTTAAATATCACTTCGATTGAGCATAGCAGTAAACAAGTCACATCAGACAAAGGTAAGCTCTACTGGTAACACATGCCAGGGCTACAATAGCCCAGACCTTTGCTTCTGTTGTATATTTAAGTGCAACCAGGACTGTGGTAAATTTTTTTGGCTGTAAAAGAGAACACTAGGATCCCTGATGAGGATACCCAGATTATATGGAACACTTCTTGTTTGAAGTTCTGCTGAATTAAATGTGTCTTAAAACTCATGAATCCCAAGAATTTATACTCCTCTCAGATAGATTTACTACATAAGTATCTGGCACTGGAGCATGAAGAACAATGGAAATGGTGCTGACTGTTGGAGAGAATTTTTAGACGTGAAAGACACATCTTTCTGGCAATCCTCTGGTCTCTAGGAAATAAGTATCTTACAGTTTTCTACTCTCCGAAGGCCTTCATCTAAACCAAGAAAACTAATCTACTTTGGGGAGTAACTGCCAGTTAGAAGAGTAAGAGAGCATTTATATGGGGAAAGGGGACCAATTCTGAAGAGGCAAAAGAAAATGGAACACAGCCAAAGGGACCTGAAGATAGTTACTATGTCAGCATAAGGCATGCAGTCAAAAGGATGTAGGAGCAAGCTGATCTGGAAGCTCGTGGAACTTCCAGAGAAGTAGAGAAGGCAGTGAGGAGACCATCTAAGGAAAAGAAGCATGTAGGTACCATGTTGTCATTGCTTGTCTACCTCTGCTTAAAAATTCCCAGCATGGCCCCTATTTTTATTCCATAAGCAAATGTGTTCCCACCGTCCAGAAATCTATTGTTGTGGAGCATTGAAACAGAAGAGTCCAGGGCGCCTGAGTGGCTCGGTCGGTTAAGCGTCCGACTTCGGCTCAGGTCATGATCTCATGGTCCTTGAGTTCGAGCCCCGCGTCGGGCTCTGTGCTGACAGCTCAGAGCCCGGAGCCTGTTTCGGATTCTGTGTCTTCCTCTCTCTCTGCCCCTCCCCTGTTCATACTCTGTCTCTCTCTGTCTCAAAAATCAGTAAACGTTAAAAAAAAAAATTAAAAAAAAAAAAAAGTAGATGAAACAGAAGAGCCCAAAGGAATGGGAGCATGAAGCATCCAAGGAAACCCAAGAGAGAAAATATCAGATGGCTCAAGTTTTTCTCAGCATTATGAAGAGACATCCAGAACCTCTCCTTAAACAAGTATCACGTACTGCCCAAGGCACTATATAGTCTTAAACAAAAACCACTGCCTGACTCTGAGATGATCAAATCTCTCCAAACATTGCTGGAGCCACAAAAATGTGGGAATTTTATTAAGATTGTTGTCGTTGATGATGATGACGATGATTATAGAGCTATGGAAGAAAGTAGCCCACAATCATAAGTTTTAAAGTGTGCCTTTTTACACATACATTTGTGGAGCATTTGGGGTAAAGGGAAGAGGGAAAGGACTGCATGGGAAATCTGAGGAGAAAAAGACTACTCTTCAGAGTGACTTGGACTGGCCCCATCATTGTTACAATGAACATTATGATTATTAACCGTTTATTAAGTAGTAGCTACATGACTTTTTAACCCAATACTTAACCAAAATGTTCTGGATAAATTAATCCTTAAAATTGCCCTTTTAACTTTTCTCTTGGTGTTTAGATATTTGCTGAAAGATGGAAGGCTTGTAAGCATACTGGAGGGATCAAATCCCTCAGTCAAATGCCACTTCTGATGGCATTTAGGGTCCACTCAGATGACCTTAAAGAATCTCATCTCATTATCTGTGATGTAATCACCTCTGTTACTATCCAAGGTCATATTCGCTTTTTTGGGAATATATAGTAACGGACACACATTCTACTGGCTAAGACATGGACATACTCTTCGGGGGCCACCATTCAATCCACTACACTGGTCAGTAAACGTATAAATTTAGGCATTAGAAGATGGCTTTATGAAGAAAACAGAGCAGGGAGAAGGGATAAGAGAGTGACAGGGGATACTGTTTTTGATAAGGGTTAGAGAGAGCATCTGTAATGAGGCGCATTGTAGTGGAGACTTACTTGAAGTAGATGGGAGAGAAGTCTTTCAGGCAGAGGAAAGAGTAACACAAAGGCCCTAAAACTAGTTGTGTTAGAAGTGAGAACAGCAAAGAGACTGGTATTATGAGAATAGAAGTGTAGTAGGAGACGGGTCAGAGGCAGAATTTGAACTTTATTCTGAGTAAAAGGGGAAGCCATTGGTGTATTAAGCATAGAGGAATAATCAGTCTGACTTTTACTACTGTGCCTGATATACAATATGGAGAGGGCAGCAAAGTAGCGTGACCATTTAGGAAGACACCGTGCTATTCCAGGCAGGAATAGGGCTAGGGGTAGTAGCCATGGAAGTGGTGAGAAGTGATTCGATTTGGGATATACTCTGAAGGCTGAGCCATTAAGATTTGCTGATTGAGGGGCTATATGTGAGAGTGATAAAAAGAGTCAAGGATGATTTCAATGTTCTTTTTGCGCATGTGGCTGGATGGATATAAGCCAGCACCAAGTGAGACTTAGAAGATGGGGAAGAAGCAGATTTGGGAGCGAGAATCCTGTTTTGGATTTGGAAATTCCTTTTAAACATTCAAAGAGAGATACTCTTCTGTGAGTTGGCTATAGGCATCTGGAGTTCAGGGCGAAAGCTATATATCTTGGCATCATTGGTGGATAGCTGGTATTTAAATCACTGTAGAGTCAGTGTAATATAGAAAAAGGACTAAGACTGCAGAACCCTAAAATCAAGAAGCCAACGTGATGTGGAGGAATTAAGAAACAGATCCGTGAAGTGAGTTAGTGGTGTAAAACCATGAAAGTCTGCTGATCTGGAAACGAAAATAAGAAAGTGATTCAAGGAGGAAGTAGTCAACTGTGTCAAAAGCTGCTGATAGATACAATAAGATGAGGATTGAGGATCTGCCATGGAATTTGTCCATGGCCAATCGTTGGGAGTCATGAGAAGAACACTTTTGGTGGAGTGTGGACACAAAACCCATTTAGAGCGAGTTCAAAAGGGAACTGGGAAAAAGAATCGTAGACGACTAATTTGGGCAATTGCGATGATTTTTGCTTTTAAGGGGAGGAGAGAAATCGAGTAATAGCTGGGGGAATTGTTGTTTTAAGATGGGAGGAGACACTATAATACCATGCTGATGAAAATGCTCCTGTTGAGAAGCAAAAAATGATAATGCAGGAAAAGGAATGAGTGCAAGAGGGATGTCCTCAAATAAGTGAGAAGAGACAGCGTCCAGCGCCTGAGTGGTCAGTCAGCTTTGGAAAGGAGCAGGGCATGTCTTTTCTTATAACAAAAAAGGAACTCGGAGTATATAGTTGATCTATTAGTGTGAAGATGTGCCTTCTAAGGGCTTTTATTTTCCCTGTGCAATAAAAAGCAAGGCCATCAGCTAAGAATGAGGAGAATGGAAAAGGATCAAGTGTGAAAAGGTGTGGAACAGCCGTCCTAAGGGAGTAAATTGTCAAGCACAGCACTGAATCGTCTAGTGAATTTTCTAGGACACCACTATCCTATAGATACACGATGTAAGCCAAGAATGGAATTTCAAACTTTCCAGTAGCCACCTTAAAAGGGCAAAATAAAACTGGTGCAATTAATTTTAATAATATATTGTATATAACCAAATATATTCAAAATGTTATCTCAGCATGTATCGATATAAAAAATTGAGAAGATTTTAAAAGCCAAAAAGAGTGCATTTTACGGTTTCAGCATACCTCAATTCAGACTAGCCATGTTCAAGTGCTTAATAGCCACATGTAGCCAGTGGCTACCATATTAGATATTGCAGTTCTAGGGCATGAAATAGTACTAATGGATAACATGAGGGCCCCTTGAGATTAGTAGCCATGAACTGAAGTGAAATTTGCATGACTATGTGTTGTTCTTAAGTCACATTCAGAACTCACATAGAGATGGGGAGTAAGCAGAGTCGGTCTTGACCAGGGATGGAGTTTTGTGAGCAGAATTCAACCAAAGGAAAATGGGAGAAGGGAATTGGTGGCATGTACAACCAAATGATTATACAAGTTAAGCAAAGAACATAAGCCACAGAAGTAAGGGAGGGGGGCAGTGTGAAAAGGTGATAGAGACAATGGGAGTTCTAGTAGGGTCAAAGAACTTTCAGAATTGTAGCTGCTATGCAATATACAAATCTGTCCAAGCACAACATGTGTTTTATGTGAGTTCAGAGGAAGAAGAGACCATGCCCTACCAGGATGATCCAGGAGAGTTCAAGGAGGAGTTGATGGGTAAATCAGGGCTTGAAGGATGAAATAGGGTTTTTATTGCTCTATGCGAAACATTGCAAAATGAGGAAAAAACACAAGAACTGATACAAAGAAGCAAAGATATTCAATATTTCCTGGGGATGAGAGTTTAAAAAGCCTTAATATTTATTGAGATAGCTATTGATTACAATGGGCAAAGTGGCCTATAATGATGGGTCTTTAGAGAAAGAGTCCTGGGGTAATTTCACTGAGGAAAGAAAGACTTGACTATATAATATGGTGATAGTCCCAGAATACAATGTTTCTTAGGAATTGGAGAACCAAGGGCTAACGATTGTTTCCAAGAAATACATGCTCTTCTTTTCTGGCCCACCTCACCCTTATACACACACACACACACACATACACACACACACACACACGCACGCACGCACAAACACACACCTTTCATCTTTCATTTAGAATTCAGTCTCATTAATGTAATTCTCTTCTATGGAATAGTCAGTTGCATCCAAAGAGAATCAATATATATACCTTTCATCATTATATCCTGGAATAAATTTTGGAACCAACTGGGATTAGAACATGTGGGATTAAAAAGGCTTTGATTACTACTAATACTTTATTTTTTAATAGCACATCAACTCTCACCATACAGACCTAGTTTTTCATTCCTTCAGAAAACAAGGTGCACTATTCACAATATGCATTGTACTCTTTTTTTTTTTCTAAATCCAATGCCATTTCTATTCAAAATTTAAGGGTAAGGCATCACTTTAATTTACTTTGGTTCTCAATACAGTCATTAAATGATACAATCATTAAGCAATAGGAAATTTAGTTTTTCCTAGCATGTTCAGATCATTGTTGCAAAAAAAGTTAGCCTCTCTTTTCCCAGCTCTAAGTATTTAGGGAAACCTGCCAGTATATCCAGTCCCTCCTTTTTTTTCACAAGAATTTCCTACTTCAATTGGAATATTTAGAAACAGTTAAGAAGAGCTACATGTTTCCACATGAGACTTTAATAATACTGTACTTTGTATTTACATATCATATATCCTTGGTACTTCATAGCTCATTATCATTATAAATTTACAAATCAGTACATGAATGCACAAGGCTTAGAAGCAACTCTTTTCCTGTCCAACAGTAAGTTATTAATGCCAGGATTGGAACTCCTAATTATTGACACATGTGGTCCTACAACATCTAAAGATCATTTTCATAACATGAAATGAAGTGCTCAGTAAGTAGAACATATCAATTATCAAATATCCTATTTATTCAAGATAATTTTAAGAACCATGAAGCTTTAACCACGTAACCATATATAAATAACCATATTAAATAACCATATTAAACCTCATAGGCCTACATTAATATAAGTATAGATTAATGTATCATTTGATCAAAACTAATCCTTCTGTGGATCGGTAAATATAAACATATATGATACAATCAGCTCTGCCAAGTGGAATACATTTCAATCAAACAGTAAGCAAATATATCAACATACTTAAAAATGTGGACTACTGCTTTAAAAACCTGTCACCAACATTCTGTGATTCTGAAGGGTACAGATGCCACTGGTCAGACTGCTATATATGTCATCACCTCTCTCCTTCCTGGGAATAAAAGCACCCACTGTCTGCTGATTCAATTAGGAATGTCAGGTACCCAGTCCTCTTAGCAGTACTGGCTGTGGTTCTAATTCTGGTGTCTTGAGCATCCATATGTCTGGGAGATTCTGTAAGATCTGTCTCAAAGAAGCAGAGGCTACCATGTGGGCATCTGAAGGAAGATTAGCAAGTGACTGAATCAGCTTCATGACTATTGTCTTCAAACACCGGTGGGCAGTATCCAGATCTCTGTCAAACTGTTGTCCTTGAATTTGTAGAGCCAAATGACTGCAGATGTGTCTAAACTCAACACGATCCTGAAATAAACAGCAAACACATACAATTAGATAGGTTATGGGACATTTGTTATGTTTTGTGTACCTAGCTTCCATTCCCATCTCTTCTCATCACAGGACCTCATTTTTTCTCTCAGAGAACCTCTCCCCTCCATTTTCAGCCTATGTGGTTTGACTAAAGCTGACCCCAATTCTACAACTCCAGGGACCAGACCAATCGGAGACCACCCCCCTTCGGCCACTTGGAGTGGTCAGGAATGGACAGGTCTAACACAGACCAATAAGCCGCAGTTCCAGAGTGTCTGTTAGATTGCGAAAGAGAAGCTCTCTTTAACTGGGGCTTTTGGAAAGCATCTTGTCACTCTAAGGGGAGAATCCAAATGAGAATGAAGACAGCACAGAAGAAAGTAGAACAAAGGGATTAAAAGCGATTGATTCTAATTACATTGTCTGAGCATATTGACCCAGCAATACTTGAACAATAAACCCCAGGATTTTGGGGGTATCTGAGTCAATAAATATGCCTTTTTACTTAAGCCATTTGGAGTTGAGCTTCTGTTATTTGTTCCTAGCAGAGCTTTGAAGAATACACAGATAGCCTTTGTTGCTATTATTCCATATTCACTGTCTTCAAAATTCCAATACAGGGTTTGTATTTGATACCATCATCTCAAGAAGTTTCCAATGCAAATTTAGAAAGAACAGTTCCCAGGTAGTTAAACATAATGAAGTAACTAAACAGATTTTTAATCCCCAAATGGTTCACATTCTAAAATCCATTATATAGACATGGTATACTAAAATTATTCCAATAAATAATCAAAATCATTCCATCTCAGCGATAATGTTAAATAGATAACTTATTTTAAATACATGTAAATGACTCTCCACAGGCTTCCGGCTCTGGTAACAAGGCACACTTAGTTTCCCCGAAACTTTTGCTAACCGAATTCTAAATAAAATAGAACAAACATCCTTTCTGATATTGCAAGAAAGCAATGGAAATTCCTAACAGCCCAAGATAAAGGAAGAGTGGATTATTTGAGCTGTGCATCAATACTCATCAAAAAAAGAAAGTCGGCCTCGAGCTGGGTTTGGGATAGAGGATAAAGTTGCCCCGAGGATGCATAACTCTTGACCTTTACTACACAGCAGCTTAAGTTTGGAGCTGCCCTCTACACTCCATACCATATATACGTTATGGAAACACTCACGCTAAGAAATTAACTTAAAAAATTGGAACTGGGCGGAAATATCCACAGACACGTTGGTAAAAGCAAACAAGAGCCTAATCCATGGGGACACATCCACAGCCCATGCCCCACAGTAGTATTCTCATAAAGCTTTGTCAAAGACAAACTCAGAATATGACATTTAAAACATAGTCCACCATGATACAGCAGATACCAGTGCAGGGCAGGATTAAACTCCGAGTATTTCAGCTAGAAACTATACAATCTGTTTAAAGTGATTAAAAATATAAAAAGGAATCAAAACTATTTTAAGTAAAAACAGGCTTGAAAAAGAACCAAACGCCATTTCTAGCATGACAACTATCATGACAAATTAAAAACTCAATAGACAATTTATACACCTGAATAAACCTCGGAAGTGAGGAATGGTAAACTGGATGCTTAATAGGAGAAAATTACTCAGAATTCAAGATGAAAAGTCAGGCACGGGAAATATGAATGAGATGTTAAGCAACATGGATGACAGAATGATGAAACCCACCAGATGCACTTCCAGGAGAGACGAGAGAGGCTGGGGGAGAGGTGGGGAAGCAATATTCAAAGAGAAAAATGGATAAGAATTATTTGAAATTGATCCAAAACATGAATCCAAGTTCATGAACAGAGATTCAGGAAGTAAAATAATCCGGGCACAGAATAAGTTAAATGAGATTAAAATCTAAACTTATTAAGGCAAAAGTACTTTAAAAAATTTTTTTTCAATGTTTTTTTTTTATTTTTGAGAGACACAGAGTGAGTAGGGAAGGGCAGAGAGAGAGGGAGACACAGACTTCAAAGCAGGCTCCAGGCTCTGAGCTGTCAGCACAGAGCGTGATGCGGGGCTCGAACCCAGGTACCATGAGATCATGACCTGAGCCGGAGTTGGACGCCCAACCAACTGAACTACCCAGGGGCCCCAAGGCAAAACTACTCTTAAAGGCAACCAGAGAGAAAATGGCTGATGGCTTCAGGAGATGACAAGTCAGACAGCCAACTACTGAGCTACAACCACTGAAGACAGAAAGGACTGAGATAATTTTTCAAATAATTGTCAACATAGAGTGGTTTTTTTAGTCCAAATAAACTATTATTTAAATGTCAGGGCAAAATAAATATACCTTCATTTAATAGCACAACAAGAGTTACCCCACTGTCATATTTTTCTAGAGCTCTAATTCAGAAAGGAAATTTAATTCAAAAGGAAAGAATGAGCTATAAGAAGCAACAGTGAACAAAGGAACTTAAAAATATGACGCGGATCTAAAGAACTGATTAGACAGTTAGCTAACAATGAACTTGGGGCTTACAAAACAAGATGCTTCTAAGACGCTGAATAGGAGTAGCGTGTAGGATGGAGTGGCATTCTGAGGCTTTGTACATATTCAGAGAAAAGTGGCAAAATTGATAAACATCAGACTTGTTAAGTATGCATGTGGGAAATGTCAGTGCTATCATTAAAGCACAGAAATAATACGTAAAGTTAAAACTCAGCAGACTTAAGAGGTATATTAAAACTTAATTGATCCTATCATTCGTCAGTAAAAATGAAGAAATATAAATCGAGGTGAAAAGAAAACATCAAATAAGCCACCTTTTGAAATATAGTGTTCACCAGATTGGATTTTTTTTAAAAATCTATTGGTATGTTCTTTATAAGAAACACATTTAAAACTAAAAACACCTAAAAACTTAAAACAAATGGATGCTAAAATATATACAAAGCAAACAGAAGCCGAAACAAAGCCAGAAAATTCATTATTGGGGATAAAATAAACAACAATTAATAAAAGAAATTATACCCCAAGATGTTACAACAGTTTTGTACCTGTGTGTGCCTAATATGATAATGTCAATTTACATTCAATCCACAAACATAAAAGCTGATTTTTACCCAGTTTCCTCAGAAACTAATAAGTCAAACAACAAAACAATCAATCAACCTTGAGAGAAAAGATGGAAACACTAATCACAAGATGGAAACACTAATCACAAGCTTGGTCCAATAAAGATAAGCAGATATACTTATTCTCAAAAACATACAGAAAAATTATGAAAGCTGATTATATTATAATAGGCCAAAAGCAAATTCTCAATGAATATCTAGAAGTCTATATCATACAAATCACAATGCAAATAAACGAGAAATCAGTAACATAATCTTCCCAGTACATATATGACTTAAAAGTCGACTTCTAAATAATTCATAGACCAGTGAAAGAATAACTGAAAATTTAAAATATTTTATACTGAACAATTATGGAAACAGTAGATCGCGAATTGAGATGCATTGAGATGCATTGAGAAATACATACACTTAAGGCTATAGACAAGTAAAGAATAATCACTGGAAAGTCATGAGCTAAGAAGGCAACTCAATAATTTAGGAAAAGGGTAATCCCAAAGAAAATGAAAGAGAGAACTGAAAGCTGAAATTAGAGTTTGGAACTAGAGTTTTCTTCCTATTTCTGTACAGAAAGAGAAGGTATTCTGCTCCCTAACAAAAAATGCTGTCACTTGGGTTAGAAGGACTTGGGCTTCTGGCAAAGTGTTTATTACAGAACATCTTCTGGGAAACAAAACAAACATTCATCTATTCGATTCAGCAAACCATGGCAAACCATGGCAGCAGGACCCAGGCGACTTAGGTGCTGGGATAAAGATAAACACAAGACACCACAGTTCCCTTACTCAACTATTCACAGACACCCATGCTTCTTGTTTTGAATTCCTCTTTAAAGCATTCTCGCGTCCCTGCCTTTGTGTGTTGCTCCTTTCTGCTCAGAAGGTATCAAGGGGCTACTTAGATAATCTGTCCCCTACTTTATGGAGCAACCTATATTCCTGGAGCATATTGCTTGGGAATGGGAAAGTAGAGGGGGAAAAAAAATGCCTCTGGACTACTTCCCCTAGATCCACATCAAGGGAAATTGTCCGCTTGCTTTATAGAAGTAATACAACTCTAAGTACAAAGTGGAAGGATCAAAGACAACATGCAAAGGGAAATTCAAAATTGAAGGAACCACCGAAATGTGTGCTGACGTGCGCCTATTAGCCAGTCTGCAAAGGCATTCATCACCCAAATAAGATTAAAATGCCTTTAAAAATACGTTTGTGGGCCTAAAATCTGAAGTCAATTTCACGTTTACTGTAAAGAATCAAAGAAGGCATCGTTTGAGGAAAGTATACATATAATAAAATTCCACTGCTGGGCTGTACTGGTCCCTGAGGCCCTGGGTAAACTTCAAATCCCTGGCAAGCTCTGCAAAGTCTCTTTATTTTACTCTTTTAGTACAGTATTTCTTTTTAATCCTTTCTCAAATATATTCACAGTCAAAGAAAACAAATTAATAGGCATAGGCTTTCCATGGGACTCTTAAGCCAGGGGATGGAAAAAATAGAGCAGGTGGTTGCTTCTCTTCCTTTCTGAAGGGTCTGAAGGCCAACTGTGGATCCAATAATCATGGCCTCCAACTAAACCTCTGCTGATTCTGTTGCACAGGCGGGGGCCAAAAATTCACAGCATAGAGGCAACGGAATATTGAATGGCTCATGGGCTTTCAGTAGAAAATCACATCATCAATATTCGTGATGATTTCCTGTATGGTGCTTTCCGTTCAATGACAGAGCACATCCTCCCGGCAGCCTTTATTTGACAAGTCCCAGATGCTTCCAGAAATGATGTAATATCCTACGTGGGGTTTTGAGCACATTGTCAGCATTAGCACTATGAGCAATCTAAAAGCAGGTTTTGGAGCTTCCAAAGCCTTGTGTAATTTCAGACTCTGGATA